AATTTGGTTCTTTTACATGGCTGTTACTAAATACCAGCATGAGAACAAGTAGAATCGTCATGTTGAAAAACGACATAGAAATTGAATGTGGAGCCCTTTTTGGTCAGACAGGTGATTTCAAGAATGAAAAACCCAAGTTAGGTCATGGGGGGGGGAAATGTGCTTTAACAAACTAGATAAGAAGAACAAGTTTTGAGTAATTAACATGGCAGAACATGTCCAGTACACTATCTCATAATGCTAATGCTGAGCATGTTCTCATTAATGAATGTTCATTGGACAAAATGAAATAATTTGGATGTGAGCACTGTAGGAACTGTTGGAATGTAAATGGAGCTCACTGTAAGGAATTTATAAACAAATTCTGCAGAACAAGGAGCTGTTGATCCCACATCACCAGGGAGATGTCATTAAAGCGAGGTAATGAGAGAGCTGTAGTTTCAGATAAAGATATTTTTTAGTATTTGTTCCAAGCATAGACTTAGAAACATACTTAACTGTGTTCTGAATTTTTATTTGCTAAATGGGGCAGCCTTAAAGCAGCTGACATTGAAGCAACACTGGCCCAATGGGTCTCTGCCCTTCCTTGATCTCCTTTAACTTAAGATATCAAAGCTGGTACGTGTGTTTTAATTGACTTCGCTTACAAAGAATCATGTGATTTTATGTCTGCATTGAGGTATTTAAAATTATGTCTGAATATAAATTTCCTTGAAATCAGTTCTTAATTATCTAGAGGGAACCTTTTTGGTGGTAGAATGAAAAATGGATAGGTTGAACTGTACAAAGAGACGTGGTTTAATTTATTGGTGTCTGAAAAGTGTTGTGGTTCTTAACCACACTTTTTCTTTTTTTCCAGGCGATTCAAGATCTCTGGCAGTGGAGGAAGTCTCTTTAAGAAAATAGTTTAAACAGTTTGTTAAAATTTTCCGTCTTATTTCATTTCTGTAACAGTTGATATCTGGCTGTCCTTTTCTTAATGAGAGAACTTTTCTTACTGCATCTGATCAATGTTATTTAGGTTCCATTGCTGTTGTCCAAAATGTTTGTTGAGCTTTTAAAGATGGGACTCCATCCTTTGCTTGGTTTTAAGTATGTATGGAATGTTATGATAGGACATAGTAGTAGTGGTGGTCAGACAAATGGAAATGGTGGGGAGACAAAAATATACATGTGAAATAAACTCAGTATTTTAATAAAGTAGCACTGTTTCTCTTTATATTATTTACTCGCTTTATATTTTGTCAGAAATAAATGTATATAGTCAAAGGTGTCATGGCATCCCAAACTCTCATGAGAAACAGTCCCTGCCCTACCCTCCAAATAGTTGTGTTCCTCAGAGCTAACCAATCTGTTTTTCATTGTGAGGGTCTAGTGCTTAATAGTTAATAATTATAAACATGCAGACGTGTTTCCAAGTGTCCTTCAGACCTCCTACCCGCCCGTCCTAGCCTTTTCACTCCCGAAGGAAAACCTGCCATGTTAAACAGCCGCATCCTTAATCAGAACAGAAAATGATTTCTGTGGCTGTTTTCTCAGTTTGCTCCCCCCCACCCCCAAAGAAAGATCCATGGGAGAAAATTTATTACGTGGTGGTTACATGAGGACTTTTGGGGGCCGATCCTTGGGATTCTTTTATCTGTTGTACCATGATTCAGTTGCACGATGGTTGCGGGTTAGATTCCTGTTCCTCTTGTGCTGTGGTATATTCTCCAGTAGTTTCCTAAAAACATGGACGAAGTCTTCGTATATCTTAAAATATCTTGATTTTTGACTTAAAATCCAGTGCTGCCTTGTAGGCTGAATCTTTTTCTCTGAATTTTTAAGTATGTGCCACCTTTTTTGGCCTAGTCTTTTACCATTTTTATGTATTTTGTGTATGACCAGTTTTTTTGAGAGGTAATTAGATAGCTTTATTGCAGGTGTTCTGAGATTTTATAATGTGTGTCATAGTCTTGCTCGGGGCTTTGGGTGGACTGTGGGTCTGTTCTCTAGTTCTGGGCCATTTTCTTGAGAGATTTCAGCCTCCTACTTCCATTCATTTTTAGGCCTTTTGATTCTCTTGGATGTTTTTCCTCATTCCTTTTTGTTTAAAGTTCAGGAGAGAGACTTTATTTTCTGTCTTCAAATTTGTGTTGATTTATTTTTTTAGCTTTCAGATGTTCTTCCTTGATTCTTTGGGGATATAGAATCTTAAAGTCTGAAGAAATTCTCATCCATGCACTGTTTACTCATTTTTCTTTTTCATCCCTTTCAGCCTATTTATCTTTTATATTAGGAGCGTGGCACTTGCTGTCCAGGCTATAGTTCCAGGTGTTTTGATGTGGGATTACAGAGGTTAGCCTTTGAATCTCAGGTAGTTTTTCAGAGTAACCTTATTTCAGAGGGTGGCGAAAGGTTGGTGCAGTACTTTGTTGTCTAATCCCAGTTTCCCTGGGTAGCAGTTCCCTTGTCTAGTTAATTTATTTTAAGTTGTAGTTTTCTTCATTGACTATCCAGTTTCCTCTCTCCAGGATAGTCTGTCCGTTTGAGCTGCTTGATGTAGAAGCTGACAGCCTTGCATTTGCTTTAGTTGATGGCCACTTTTACATAGCAGGAAATCCTAGAGGACTTCTGGCCTTAACTGGTTGTCCTGTTCCTGCTCATTTAAAAAGCTAATCAGACCCATCTTTGAAGAAAGTTCCAGATAGGGCTTGTTTTTTGGAAGGACAGAAATCATTAGCCTCAGAAGTCACTAAAAGTCCTAGTTATTAGACAGACATCAGTCAGCTAAGTATGAAGGAGATATGAAAATTGACCTCTGAGTCTAGGTTTGTGACTTAAGAAATTCTTTTTTTAAAAACTGACTTCCCTTTGTACAGTGCAAACAGTAAACATGAGATTGGCCATGTTTAGATCAATAGAGGGTTCCTTGCTAAAAGCTAATAAAAGTATCTATGATGGAAAACCCTATAAGTTTTTATGAAAGCATTTTTGAAGTTTTCTAAGACCAATAAAGAAAAAAAACATAATTTTCCTTTGTTCCTAGTACTAATCGCTCGATTTATAGTAGAGGAAGCTGTAAGAGAAGCTGGTTTATTCTCAAATTTGGGGGTTTATAGTATATTTACCAGGAATACTTCTTGGTTTAGGTGGGTCTGCAGTTTACCTTAAATACTTGCTGATGGAATAAACTACTTCCCTTCCTTAAACCAGTCTGCTGAACATGTTCTTAATGGCTTAGTCCTTAGCAATATCATTCATTATTCTGCAAGCATTTTCTTCAAAATCCCTACTAAGTATGATGGAGATAAGAATATTGAACTGAGTCTAGGTTTATTGCCTCCATTTATTTGCACCTAACTTTGAAAAATATTTTTAATGTTTTATTTTAATGTTTTATTGCCAGTTTACAGAACCATGTCCTAGCGATCTCTGAAAGTAGTGAGTTTAAGTATCCTGAATTCAGATTTCTATGTATTTGTATGTCAGTCCAGTGTATTTTTTAAATTTTCGGCCAAATGGATCCCCTCAAGCTTGCTCCTGCCATAACAGAATCCAGTAGTGGGATACCATCTTGCTTTCTAGTGTGATAGTGTTCCAGGTTCATCTTGTTCATTTTCTTACTCAGGCCTGGAACGATCCATTTCTCTAACAAGTTCTGTTTCCTTTAAAGGAAGGAATGGTATTCAGAGACCACAGTCTGGGTGGGAGTTGTGCTCATTAGGTAACTGTTTAGCTGACTTTGTGAATAATCAGATCCCACCTTTTGGAAAAGCAAGGGGTGAATTGTAAGCACTTGGAGGTCAGAGATGCACTGGTTGGCTGACTGAAGGAAGCTTTCCATTTGATGTCTTAATCATGTAAGGTTAAGTTGTGGGTGAGAACTCTGCAGAGCCGTTTATTACCTTCGGCTTCAACCAGGGAAAGAAATAGGTTAAGGCTATTTGGAGAGAGCAGATGGAGCTGTCTAAATTGGATCATGCAAATGATGGATGTAATCAAACGAGGTTCATAGTGGTATGTCAAAGCATACACAAGCTATTAGAAGTGGTTTTGACTGCTAGCTTAATAAGTGGCAGTAAACTAGGGTGTGGGGTTTTTGTTCGGGACTGTTGACGGTTTGCGGGTCACAAATAACATGTCTATTAATCAAAGATGGTCTAGGCTCAAGGTAACAGTAAATTCAGAAAGTCCAAGACTACCTTTCAGTCAGTTCTTACCAAAGATCTGGTTGCTCCCTGATTCATGAATTTGACAGTAGAGATCTTGTTTTAATGTGAAAGTTTTAAGAACTGGTTTTGAGAAATTTTAGAGCTGCGTCTGCTAAGGGTCCACTTTTCTTATTAAACTACTTGATCCTATTGACTCGAGGCTGCATTTGTCTAACGTCTTTAGGCTGGAGGTTCTCCCATCTTTCTTGAAAACATATTCCACGGACTACCTAACATTTGTGTCTTGAGGCTGGAGAAGCGGGGGGAAGCATCAGATGGTGCTGTTTACTTTCATTTGAAAATGAGATGGGAAGAGTCTAAACATTTATTTAAACACATAACTGTGTTCTAAAGTTCTGTGTTTAGGATTAGTAAGCAAAACAGGTTAGCTGCAGTGCTTACATTCCATTGGGCTCGCAGTCAACACATTCTCAATTCCCCTTTACACAACCAGGGATTTTATAGCTGTGAATCTGCTCAGAAAATTGACAGTTCATTAGCCTTAGCCTAGAGCTGGGACTTAATGCAGGTCTGACTCTTAACATCAAACTAGCACAGAGCCACCTAACCGAAACTACTGTACTTTCGTCTGGACTGGTAACAGCCCTCTCAACTGGCCTCTTTACTGTCAGACCATTCTAATTCATTCTGTATTTAATACCTGCAGTAAACTTTAAAAAACTGGACTGTGACCTTAGTTTCAAAGCCTTTGACGGATAAATTGCCAAACAAATTGGTATATCCACACTGGAGTCCTACTTGGCAGTAAAAAGGAACAACTGCCAATAAAAGCAACAGGGGACAAGGATGAATCTCAACGTGCTGTGCAAAAGGAGCCAGACGCAAAAGAGTATGTACTATATGGTTCCTCTAGAGCCAAAGGTTAGTGGTAACTTGGGACCAGTGATGGTTGTGGGGAGGTTGCTGTAGAATTGAGCTGTTTACCTAACCAAACGTTTGTCAGAGTTCAAGTACATGTAGATGTATTTAAAAACTACACAGTACCTTTAAAAAAAAAAACCTTTTTAAAAAAAACCTTTGACAGGCTACCTGTTAGCCTGCAAGAGATCAAGCATTTACCTGTGTTATAACCCTCATCTCTTGCCACTCTCCCCCCAGGCTAACCCTGCCTGTCACCCAGCTTTTTTTCTACTTTTGTGGGTGCTTGACATCTTTTACCTGGACTCTTCCTTTGCCCAGCTGGCTCCCATGTTTGGGTCTTAGCCTAATTACTAAGGTTGGTCTTCTCTATCCCATTGTTTTCCTTCGAAGCACTGATAAGCTAATATTTACCTCTTGGTTTATCTGCTTTTTGTCTACCCTTGTAGAAGTGAAAGGATTTTTTTTTTTTTTTTTTTTTTTAAGAACAGGGATCTTGTCTTCACACAGTAGGATTGCAATAAATAGCGATGGAATTAATTCATGAGAACTGACTATCATAGTGGCACATACTAAGTGCTATAAGAACATGTCATTCAGAAAAGATGCATGTGTAAAATAGGTATTTGAAAACTAGGTTTGGGGGTGTTAATGGGGAAAAGGAAGAATGACAAAATGACTGGGAGTCAAACATTCTGGTTAAATGCCTCTTCTGTAAATTGAGAATGGTCCTGCCTCCCTACTTCATGAAGTTATAAAGAAAATCATGAAAATAACCTGAAAACCATAATTAGCATTATCAATAACAGCTAAAACCTTTGGAGCCTTGTGTGCCAGACTGAATCATCTCATTCAGAAACTGAGTTGTAGATGAAGCAGAGTCAGACTGTTAGTTGCTGGAGTTTGTAAGTAAACAGGCACACTCAAACTCGACCTCTGACAACATTCTTACTCCGAACTTCACTTGACTGGACTCTGGTGTTATTTGGCTGATGGTCTTTATTTGTGAGATCGACAAGTATGCTTAATCTGAGCATCGAAAAAATTGCAAGCATTTTAGATAGAACATAATTCTATACCCATTCCATCCAAAAGTACAGGAAAACAGTATAGGAAGCTTTAAATGTGATTCGTACCCAGGAGATACTTCAAACACCCCACTTAGCCAAAACTGCCTCCTGACTGGTAAAGAGTTTCTAAGGTCAAGGATGGTGCTAATAATGCCTCAGGCCCCAGTGCAAGCAATTCTCCCCATGTCTGGTTGGTCATCGCATCCTATAGGTTCATTTTCTTTAGGGCTTGGGGTTTACCAGTAACTGCAAGACCAGTTCTGGCGATGAGAACGTCTAAGGAAATTCAGCCTGGCACTTAACACAGCTTTCCCCTTCACTTGGCACCTGGTTTCGAAAAGGTTTTCTGCACTAGTGTCGAGTGCCACAGCAGAGGCTATCTGTTTAAGATAGGCTCAGCTTTGAAAGGGAACTTAAAATAGCCTGCTGTTCGGGACACTTTCCTATCCAGTGACTCTAGGAAATGGCACTGTTCAATAGCACCTCGGTTTACACTCCAGTGAGATGGGTGTATCGACCACAACCAATGTCACAAGGAGGTTTTAACCCCAGTAGTCTGCATTCTGGGGTTCTGCTTTTTGAGCTTGTTCTCAGTTTCTTTCCTACTGTGACCTTTTCCCCCTATCAGACCGAAACGCAGACCTTGGCTGTCCTGGGCTCAAGTGAGGCAGTCACGAGTGACAACACCTACATTTTGAGGTTGGTGGGAAGGATAGGAGTGATGATGCCTCTGAAGGGGTGGAGGCGGGGAGAAGGGATGTGCTCAGAGGGACACATCCTTGGTTAAAGGGTTCAAACTGCTTAGTATTCAAGGGAAGCAAATCTCAGGCAACGGAAAGACGGCCTACAGTGGGGCCTAGTGTGGTCGCTGACCAGAGTCCTGCTGGCTCCTTGGCCGTGGCCGGCCCGGGCTGGGGTTGCAGCGAAGCCTTAGGGCCGCTAGGTGTCAGCCGTGCGTTTCCAAAGCCGACTCGCCTGCTGGAGAGTCCCGCTGGGATCCCGAGAACCGACCGACTGGTAGACCCCGGAGGGTGGGGGGAGAGTGAGAGAAACCTTGGCGACCCCTCCCTCTCAAACTCTCAAGGTTTTCTGCACTTGGATCCAATGCAGGGACGGAGGGACTGGAAGCGGGTCACTTAGTGTGGCCGGCCGTCCGAGAGAGCAGCTGGCACATGCCACGACCCTGAGTGGACTCCGGGAGGGTAAAAGCGACCCCCCCCTTAAGTGGAGCCGCCCCGGGGGCTGGTCCTGACCCGCCTCCTCCCGGCTCCCCCACTCTAGCGCTGGTGGGTGTGAGAGCGAGGACGTTCGGCACCTCTCTGCGTTCTTGGGGACCGCCGTTTGCCCAGTTCGGGCAGCGTTTGCGCCGCGGCCCGTGTCAGTGCCCCCGGGCGCAGAGCTCCGACGGCTTCCAGTGCTCGCCAGCTCCAGCCTCGAGGGCTCTGCCCCATCGGAGCGGCGGGTCCCGTCGCGGAGAGCCCGAGCGCCTCCCTCCAACCGGAGCCGCCAGGAGAAAGAGGAGGAGGCGGCAGTGGAGAGGCCGCGGCAGGCAGGCAAGCAGGCAGGGCCGCCTTTGATGTGGGCG